ATGAGTCAATTTGGATGATCCAATGTTAATACATACATGATGTTTCAAAACCCAAGGACTCTGTTATAAAGGAAACAATGTTTAAACAAAAGCAGTAAGCAGAGCACCAATAATAGAAACAGAGCTTCCACCTCCTCCAGGCCTTGAGAAGGAAGAGTATAGTATTACTAAGAAAATTCAAAATTTCCCTGCAATTTCCCCAGCCCTTCAGGAACAAGTGTGAAATTCTCACTCATCTGCCCGTTGAAGTTGATATTGCACTTTTAAATCCCAGACATGATGAAATAGGACCTAGAGTCACAAATTGAAGAGATGGGCAAATGCAAACTGACCTGGGATCCAGAACCCAGGGTCCCGGGCACGAGGCTGCCTGGGAAATGTTTCCTTGCTATAAAGAAGGACTGATGCTGTTAAAGGGCCGAAACACTTGGCATGCTCCCTACTTGGAGGCTGGTCTATTGATACATTTCCAAACATCAAAAAGGTTTGGGGAGGAAGAAAGAAGGGTTTCTATGGTCAACCTGGGAAATGCTGTGTGATACATTCTCTCTAAACGCTCAGCCAAGTCCTGTAGTAGAAATCTTTTGAACACTTTTTAAATTTGCCTCACTCCTCCCCATCTTGACTTCGCTATTTTGTCAGTGGCATTCACTCTCAAGTCTTTAGAGTCTTTTTTATGTTTCCTTTTGTCAACACACTCCATCAGTCATCAAACTATAAATTCAGCTGCAGCCATACTTCTTCCATTAACCTCTTTTTCTATGTCCCCTGCCAGCTGCTAGTTTAAGTCCTTATGACTGTCCCCCTCAACTATCCCAATAGCCGCCTCACAGGTCTCCGTATCGTTTCTTCCCTGTTAACAACCACCATCAGAAAATTGCTTCGAGATCACAGTGCCAAGCACATCACAACTATGCTGATGTACCTTCAGCAGTTGCCACTGCCTACTGGGTAAACAAGGTAAGACCCCTTAGTCTGGCATGTGAGATTCTTCGTAATTCTCACTCCAACCTTCCCTCCTAGCTACAACTTCCACCACAGAAACCCTAGCTCTGTCGTCAACTCAACTATTTCCCAAATAGGATTCAAGGTTTTCTCACCCCCATTGCTCATCCTCAATCAGTTGTGAACCTCTCTTCTTTTTCCCTGTCTTTATCCTACTTTAAAGTCCAGCTCAAATGTTGAGACTTCGTGAAATCATTGATCTTTGAACTCTCCCAAACACTTCAACTGTAGGAATCTCATAGTTCTTAATACAATCAGCTTTGATTAGTGTCATACATTTTAAAATAGTCAATAGTATATTCATGCGTTATATACTGAAGAACTACTAACAGCTTTTAATAAACTGTCCTATTCATCTCTGTATTTTCCCTGAGTGACTAACACAATACTTTATATACAAAAGGCATTTAATAAATCTATTGAATAACACTAGCCCTGCATCACACATTAGCAAATCCCTAAACCTCAATTATATTTTTAAGCCAGTGATAGTCCATTTTCTTTTTCTATACTTTGCATCCCAGATCTTTTTTCTAACAAAATCTTAGATGAAATCTCAATATATATTTTATAGGGAGATTTTATATATGTTTTATATACAGCGTGAAAAACATATAAACGGTATCTTATTTTATATGCATTTATTTTAAATTAAAACACATAGCATTTCTTATCATTAAGCCTACTGAAAATAGTAGACTATTTTGATGAATATAAAATTTGAGGTAGAAGGTTAAGAGTGGCCATCTGCAGTCAACAATTTCTGTATCCAGCTTATTTCCATACTTGGACTTGGGTTCACATGGCTGAGAAAATCCAAATTCACACAGGTAAGTCATACTGTGCAATTTTATGTGAGTGGACATTGGCAGGAACAAATTACATTTATTTTAGGTTCACAGATGACCTGCTGTATGAGTGACACATTAGAAAGCCATACACAGCAATTAGGAACACAGACTCCAATTTAAATCCTGGCTCTCCTATTTAACAGCACAGACCTAAACACTTGTTATTCAGCCTCAGTTTCTGCATACATAAATTGGAAATAATAGTTCTTCCCTTATAAGGCTATGCAAAAGCAAGATAAGTCACACAAGTTAATGCCTCAGTGGTCTTAGTGGGTCAAAATGCAATACAGGACATGTCAGAATGTGTGGTTGTAATGTTTTGTTATGTATCGAACAGTTACTACTACACTATAAGACTATGTATAAAGTATAAATAGCAATACAGCAAAAATGCAGCTTAAGACAGACAAAATGAAGATTTTTGAAGTCAGTGTGACTCTTTGTGAGACCATTCCCTTTCCTCCCCCTGAGGTAAAGGTTACCTTTTCCATACATTTTTTTTATTTTAAGCACACTTTATTATTATGTGCCCGGCTCTGTTCTAAGTGCTTTCCAAAGTTTACCACATCTAACCCTCCTAACAACCCCATGAAGTGGATAGCGTCCACCTTAACTTACAGATGAGGAGCGTGGGGCTCAGGGACAGTTTGTAACTGAAGCCACCAGGACTTGAACTCAGAGAGTGGGCCTCCAGAGTCTATGTTCACCAACACAAATCCAGGCCTGAAACGCAGTTTTAAGGGTACTCTCATGCTTCACACTTGAGTGAACACTTATTAAACATCCACCATGTGCCAGGCCCATGCTGAGCACTGCAGAGCTAAGGAAACACTTCTTCCTTGCTGGCAACTGGCAGTTTCCAGAACATAAGATTCCTCTCACTGCTGCCATCTCTAACTTGTCCACATCCAACAAGGTCCTGGGAGCCCTGTGCAGCCTTGAAGAAAGGCAAGCAGGCCCAGACATTCCACCTTGGTATTGGCCATGGTGGTTCCCAACAACAATCAATCCCCAAGGACCCAAGGGAAATTCCAAACTTTTCTGCCCCAACTCCCCATTCCCAGCCTCTTCCTCATCAAGGCTTCCTCTGAAAAGTGAACCATGTAGGAATCCATGGCCTTTGCCAGCAGGCAGGCCAGTCGCAGCCTTGTGGCCCAGCCCACAAGGAAAGAACTCGGTTTTAGTGCATGTCACTCCCTTAATTATTCCCTGTGCCTGGAGTCCAACAATAACAGAGCATCTTTCATGAGCAGCTCCCACCACGGACCTTGGAACCTCACGCATGCAGCCAAGCTCTAGGAAGTGCTAAAAGGTTAGGGGGGTTGTGCAGCTAGAAGTCCCAGGCCTCTGGGGGAGAATCCCAGGCACTCTCTAGTCCAAAATCCAGACCCAAAAAACTGCCTGAGGTCCCTGCTGCCTCCAGGGCCTACTTCCTGGGGCTGCCCTGGCTCACTGTGCATGGGGCTCTAGGAAGGGCCAGCAAATCAGACAGCGGCTGCACACTAGCCACCCAGAGGAAAAAGCAAGAAGTAGGGGACTGGAGACTAAAGATGTTTCCCAGACAGTCACATTCACTTCACAAGTGCTCTCAAGGCTATGCTATATACTGCATGTTCTGTTTTGTTTTTTAGTGTTTATGAATACTAGTCCTGGTAGATGCTGGGAGCAGAGGGTATGGTTCTATGTTACAACAGCAAGTAAAACGACCAGGTCTCTTATATTATTGTGGTGGGAGGCAGGCAAAAACCAAATTAATAATTTCAGATAGTGATCAGTGCTCTGAAGAAAATACAGTATCTCACACAGGGGTGCGCAGGGAAATGGATATTTGAGGTGGTATCTGAACAAGGACGAGCTAGCAAAGGCAGAGGAAAATTCCAGGTAAAAGAAATAGAAAGTACAAGACTCTCAGACCTCCGATTGAGTCCCTAATGCTGATTAGGGGTTTAAAAAATGTTTCATGAAAAATTAGTGTCCTCAAAATTCTAGTACTAGGTATAGTTATTTTCTTAAGAGTGTAAAGATCAAAGTGCTATGTTGGAAAGAAATTTGTCCTTGGCTTTAAGCAAAGATGCAAAAAGAATGTGTGTAAATATATATTTATATGTCTCACAAGAGTCTTTTTAAAAAGCCTTTCATGTATTTTATCCTTTAAACTTTTACAGTATAGGTTGAAAGCATGATACAATCTTCAACTCCCAGTTCATGTATTGGGAGATGTTTTTTCCTTAGAACTAATGAAGACTTACGTTCTGTTGGGATCTAATTTACCACCTTGTTCCAGAATTTGAAATAAGAATGGTGTGTACCTATGGTTGCAACTATGTGAAAAATATGTGTACCCATGAGTTGAGGCAGTGGGACTATACGAAGGGGCAGAGGTTGTTTTCCATATTCCTTTTTGTTACTAAAACTGGGAAAAAAGAATACATTGTGCATAACTCTGCACTCTCCCTGTCCTCAATGTTAATAAATGTGTTTCCAACTGCTGTTTATATCCCATTTCTAACATCACTACCACTAACATCCTCTCCAAGATGCAATTAAAGTTGAAAAGTGCACGGAGTCTTTACAAACCATTGTACAGTGACTGCACTTGCTCACGTACAACCCACGTGCACCCTTCTTTCTCTCTGCGGACAGAATTTCTTGGGGATCCTTCAGGCCCCCGGCCATATTTCTCCCTAGGCTCTTATTAAAACCAGATGCGAGGGAGGCAGGCTTTTGGACAGAAAAGACTTCGCTTGGCCCAAAGCTCCCCCTTCCGGTGTGTTTTCGGAAGGGGATTCGTGAACTAAACAAAAAGAAAGCAGGCAGCTTGTGCTGGCCGTTGTCCGGACTGGAACGCGACCTGACTGCACGGCAAAGTGTTCACGGGCAGAAAGCGACGCCGGGGGCGCAAACCGCTGGTGACGAAGGGTATTTCCGGGTCTTGCCCGGCAGGAGCGTAGTCCGCGCATTTAAAGGCCCCCAGAACTACAGCTCTCTCCCGGGCGGAAGGGAAGCCGGAAAGCCGCTGCCGCGTCTTAGCTCAAACCCCGGCGGGCGGCGGGCTAGGGCCAGACGTGCGGGCTGCGCCCCGGCAGCGCGGAGGGGCCGGCGGAGACTCCGGCTCCCAGCGCCCGCCCGCCGCGCAGCGCTTACCCGGGGCGGCCGGTGTCGCTCGCGTGTCCAGGAATCGGGGCGGGCCGAACCGGGGCAGGTCGCGAACGACTTAAGAGGCCCGGGCCGTGGAGCACCCGGCGCGCTCGCTGAGAACGCGGCCGCCCGAAGACCGAGCTTCCGGCGGCGCGGGGCCTGTGGGCCTCTCCGCCCGCGACCTTTGACCCTCGCGACCGAGTCCAGGGCCAAGAGCCTGAAAGAGCAGAACTAGGGGCGCAGTTGAGCCCCTCCGCCGCGAAGATGGCGCCCGCTCCTCGAGTGCGCATTGCGATTCGTGAGAGCTGTGTCAGCGCTTCACCCCGCTCAGCCTGAACCTCAGCTCCGGCCCAGCCTCTAGGTTAAGGGCGTTGGCTACTCGTTTGGGTTAAAAATTTGATTATTGGCGCTTTAATCAGATTCTAGAGTTACTCAAAGTAGGGAGTCAGGCCTCAGAAGAAAGAGGAGCATTGCTAGGTCACAAAAAGTCAAGGTTCAGAGAGAAACAGGGATACCAAAAAACGTGCTTCCAAATTTCGAGTGGCCATTTCCTCTTCCTTGGACGGAACAGCAAGATGGCCTGTTTTTTCACTTTCTCTACTGTTTTTAAAAACCCATTAGCAGGCTTCGTGTAGCATTGTGGCCTGACAAGCCTTGTTTTCTGAAGGGGTTGCATGACTTGAGTAAATTCGGGAAATATCCTGCCGTACAAGAAGGTTTAGAAAGCCTTACCTCTCCAACGTTTGTCTACCACATTCAACTCCATAAAACCACTACAAAGTGTGTCACCCCTGCACAACTCCTGGGCTTGGAATCCTTTTTGATGGGAAATGTGTTCTCAACCCCAAGTTCCTGTGACAGATAACAAGGTAATTCCAGAGACAGTTCCAGATTCAAACAACCCTAGTAACTTCTGGTAAAACACTGTCTAAGCCAGTTTCTCAAATGGTAGGCCAAGGACCACCTACATCAGATTCCCAGAAGATCCTTGTTACAGGTTCAGGGTTTAGGCCCTACACTATAGCTGATGAATTAGGTTAGGATAGATGAGGCCCGGAAATCTGCACTTTAGAAAGCTTGCCTTGTGAGATTTCTGCTCATTATAGTTTTGAGTATTTACTAAACTTGCCCTTTATTTGCCATTGCTGAAAATGGTGCTTGTTTTCCATCTGGAGCCGTCCCTCAAAATTCTACAGTGTCAAACATACTTTTTTTTTAAAGTGTAGACTATGATGTTTGGCTTCCAAACAAACTGCCTTACTTTATTAATTTTTTAAAGTGAAATTATGCTGAAAGCATTGCTTCCTGCTACGTAGAGCTCTGAACAACTAGGTGGGTTATGCGGTGTGCCTTCTACTCATGTTGAGGTCATTCTGAGCCACACATGCTTCTGCCTTCCTGCTAGTGACTGAATATTTATGTCTCCCAAAATTCATAATGTTGGGACCTAATCCCCAGTGTGATGATATATGGAGATGAGCCCTTTGGGAGGTGGTGAACCTATGGGATTAGCACCCTTATAAAAGAGGCTCAGAAAGGTTCTTTACCCCTCACCCCCACCATGTGAGGACACAGCTGGTAGACGACTGTCTGTGAACCAGAAAGTGGACCCTCACCAGACATAGACTCTGCCAGGGCCTTGATCTTGGACTTGCAGCCCTCCAGAACTGTAAGAAATAAATTCCCGTTGTTTAGAATCCAACCAGTCTATGATACTCTGTTATAGCAGCCCAAATTGTCTTAAGAGACCTGATGATTTCTTTTTGTTTTGCTCAGGCCTCAGTCAGTATAGCTTTCCATGGGTAAAATGGAAGCTGAATATGTGATCATGGTGGTTTCCAAACAGAATTTCACAACAAAAGCATCTATGGGGCTTTTTTAACTAAAGACCCACACAAAATCTCAGCAATCCCAAACATACTTATTGGCAGAACCTTTGTTTCACAAAGCATGTCATGGAATTAATGAGCTATCTAAAGTGGTACTGTCTGACATAGCACTGAATTAAATTTGAGGAAATAAGGGTATAAATAATTTTTGCAACAGAAATATTCAACACCCTATTGCTCTTAATATAGAGAATTTGAAAGTAATTCAAATTTATCCAAAAGTAGAAAGTTGACTAAATAAATTATGCTACATTGATATGAAGGTAATCAAGACAACTAACATTTCAGAGAATATTTATTGACCTGAAAAGATGTTCTTGATGAGTAATATAAAAAGAGCAATAGGAACAATTCCTCCTTTCTTGCTTTTAAAAAAAAGAAAATGTCTAGTGGTAACTGACAGAAGACCCAAAAAAGCAGACTTCTAAGCTGGCGATAGTGAACAATGAAGAGAATGCTAATGTGCACTGCAGAACCAGAATACAAAGCTTTAGTTGGATGTCTATTGTAGAAGCAATTAAATGTCATTTCCAAGTCATTACAGCTGGGTGACTGTTCCCCACTGTAGCAAAACACTGAAGATTTATTCTCAGGAGATGGTAAATACATTAAAAACAAGAGGATGAAATGAAAACCTAAAATATTAAGTCCTCTTCCCCAGCATGCTGGAAAGCCTGACATCCCCCAGAGAGGACACTACAAGATGTTTCTTTGGTGTATCTGGCCAGCCAAAGAGAAAAGATAAAAGATACTGCAGTGAAGGGCCCCTGACCAGATCCAGTAAGATTTCCCTGTGGTGAAACTCACAATTGACAAATCCCGTCCACACACACAGTTTCCAATAAGCTTTTTACTGCCGCACTTGGCACATGCCAAGAATCAGCAGGTGTTGTTAGAAAGATTCTAATTTTAAAGATGTGGTAAGAGCAACAAAAAAACTAATGCTATAAAGGGAGAAGGATATCAGTTTTCTGTTTTTCATTAAAATTCTCAGATAAAAGAAGACATGCATCCATGAAACAAGAACAGGCTGTTTTTTTTATTTTTTATTTTTTTAATTGAAGTATCATTGATAGACAATCTTATGAAGGTTTCACAAGAACAACATTATGGTTTCAACATTCACCCATATTATCAAGTCCTTGCCCCCCCATTGCAGTCACTATCAGTGTAGTAAGATGTTATAGAGTCATTATTTGTCTTCTCTGTTCTGTCCTGAACAGGTTGTTTATAGAAAAAATAAATAAAACAGAGTTCTCGGACATTAAATATATGAAAAAATGACTAAGGGATAAAAGATATATTTGAATATAAAGGACAGACCAGATCAAATAAGTGATAAGAGATCCAGAAAGAGCAGGAAAAAATAGAGGGGAGGCTATCATTACATAAGTTAATTAATTAATAGGATTTCCCCAAATTGAAGGGCATGAGTTTCCTGGTTGGGTGTCTGGAACAATGGTTGGAAACAAACCTTCATGAAGGAACATTATCATGAAATTTTAGAATATAGATTTTGAAACAGATTTTGACCACTACTAAAGAAAAATAAATGAGTGACCTAGAAAGTATCAAGAATCAAAACACATTTAGACTTCCCAACAGCAACATGAGAAGTTGGCAGGCAACAGAAGCTAATATTTAGGATGAACTTTAACTACATTGTACTATAGTAAATGCTTTCCAATTCATGTTCACAACAACCCTATGAAATAGGTACTATTATTCTCTCCATTTCACAGATGAGAAAGCTACAAAGGAGCAAAAGTAAACTGCCCAAATGATACAGGTAGTAAATGGTGGAGCTGGGATTTGAACCAGGCAGTCTGGTTCCAGAGTCCACTATCCTAACGTATATCATACTGAAGCAGAACCTTCAGAATTGAAAGGTAAAAAGTACATCCAACCCAGAATTATATTTGGGCCAAATTATCAATAAGTAAGAAACTAATAAAGACATTTTTAGACATGTATGGTCTTAAGAAATATGTACACCCTTTCTTAAGGGCAAATGTGGGATGATTCCTCTTATATGAGGTACCTAAAATAGTCAAATACATAGGAATGAAAAGTAGGACATTGGTTACCAGGGGCTGCAGGGAGGTGAGAATGAGGAGCTGTTGTTTAATGGGTACAGAGTTTCAGGATGATGAAAGAGTCATGGAGATGTATGGTGGTGATCATTGCACATAATGTGAATGTACTTAATGCTGCTGAACTGTACACTCAAAAGTGGTTAGAGTGGTAAATTTTATGTTACCAAAAGAAAAAAAGCTACTAGAGGAGAAGGTACACTACCAAAAGCAGAGAGTGAAGCAAGACAGAGAAAAGTTGGGATTCAGGAAGCCATAAATTCAACTCAAGAGCAAGGCAGAAAGAATCCTCAGGATAATGATGAAGGGCAGTCCCAGGAGAGCAGCTACACAGGAGGCTCAGAGGGCAACCATTCCAGAGTGGAGCAAGTTAGAGGTTCAGGGAGTGGTGTCTCCAAAAAAATGAAATTGATAGAAAAAATAATGATTTTTGAATTTCTTAGAAGATATGTAACCACTGGGAGAGAATCTGAGGCTCGATTAATAATAACAACCATAAAAACTTAAGCAAACAAACAAGATAATTATTATTCCTAGGAAACCTTAAAGTTGTTACAGAAAGGAAAAGTAATCTTGGTACTCTTTTATATACTACATGGTTCTGAAGTGACCTGCATGTATCTAATCATAATAATATGAACACTAAATACTTACCTAACCAAAATTATGATAGAATTGCATCACAAAGATGGGTGTGAGCAGCATGTGGGCAAGTGAGGATGAAAGTTAAATTCTTATATGCCTTAATGGAAAGCAATAGATAATGCCTAAAAGAAAAAACCAAGAAGTGGCTTAGACATATGTGTTAAATACAAAATAGCTAAAAGATTTAAAAGTAGTTGTCTCCAAGAAGCAGAAAATTGAGGAGGTGGAGTGATTTGGAAACTGCTATTTTTTGTGATAAGCCTTGTAGAATTATTTGATTCCCCATGTGGACATATACATTTGGTAAAAAACTAATTTTTGAAAAGAAGACCAACACAATTCTAAAGTTCCTCCAGATGGTCCAGAAAAGTCTCTTTCTACCTCTTTCTTTTCTCAAATCAACTTACCTTTTTCCAAGCAGTAGTTTTCTGTATGACTCCTCTATTATTCTCTGCCATTGTATACACATTTCATAAAACAGGCTTTTGTGAGCTAGCCTGGGAACCTAACCATTGCATACATTATTTACCTGGAAACATGCATTTCAATTTCTAACCAAACAACTTGCAAAAACATTTCAGAACTTCTCCTGTTTATTAATTTGAGACTGTATTTTCCATCCCCACAAGACTTCACAATACAACTACAAAGACATTTGAAAAATCAGAGAATTTTGTAATTGCATTCAACACTGTGCCAACTATTTGGTACTGTCCAGTGGTGTGGCTACGAGAAAGGGGAAGGGTCAGAGGAGAGCCATCAGGGAAGACTTAGTCAAAGAGGCTCAATTCAAGCTGAAACTGCAAAGATGGATTGTAAAAATGGTGGTAGCATTCAGGACTCTTTATCCAAGTGACAGATACTCAACCCAAACTAGCTAAGTCAGAAATGGAACTTTTTGGTTCATCTACCTAAGACATCCCAAGGGGTCTGGCTTCAGGCAAAGATTGGTCCTGGGTCCCAAAGTGTTACTAAGCTCTTTCCATCTCCATGATGCTCCTGTATAGCTCCTGTATAGTCTTACCTTCCAGCTTTGCAGCATGGGGTGCTAATGAGGTAACTGGGTAACTATATTGGCTATACATCAAAATCCCAGGGAAAGACCTGATTGGTCTGGCAAGGGTTCAGGTGAATGGGTACTATGATTGGCCAGACCTGAGTCAGCTGCCAGAAAAGGGAAGATGGGGAATAAACTTCTGGATTGCCTAAAATAAAACCTATTACATCCAGTATAATTGTACATACCAAATATGCTCTAGTGGAGATTTATTACAACCTGAGCCAATTGGCAGCATAAGTAAAAAATGCCTCATAAATGCCAAAGCACCATGAAATGTTAGTTGTGAGTCAGTGCTAAATGTAAGTCTACATTGGCCCTGCCCAGCCAAACTTCAATTACTCCTGGATCCTTACCTCTCTGAATGTTTTAAGTTTTTCTTTCCTCCTAGCAGATTCATTTGTCACAGTTTCCCCGGGTATTGGCCTTTTTCTTCTAACAGAATCTGCTTCCAACTGCAGTGAAAAATTTGCTCATGTCATTTTTCAAAGGAAGTCAAGATGAGAAAAAAAATGTCCAAAGTTGGAATAGTTTGAAACTGAAAACATAATGGATGTATGTGTGTGTAATAAGATTGTTCTCAGCATCTTTCACTCTACTGTTTCTCTAATCTATTGAGTCACTTTCTTGGCCTCGTTACTCCAGTGCTCAAATAAGCCAAAAATATTTTGCTGATACTAGCTGCAATTTATTGAGTGACAGAATATTTGTAATGTACTTTGAGACTGAGCTTATAGCCCTGAAGATTAGGTAATTAATTAGTAGAGAAATATTTTTGCCATCTAGAAAAACAAACTTCAGATTAATAGTTCTATATTGGAATTTCCAATTTTATAAGCCCATTTAATATATCTGATTTTTAATTAGATTTTTAATTTCATTTACTGCTGAAAATGTGAACTAAGCTGATGCCTAAATTTGCTTCTGATAAATCACTCATTGATGTCAACACTTGAATACCTAATGCTAAATTGAACTTTGTATTTAAAAATAGTATGGATGTAAG